GAAAAAGAGAGAGAATAAAGTCGCGGCTTCTCGAAGCCTTCAGAGAACTTCATCCAACTTTTCAACGTGATCTGCAAGATCGCCGTTAGTTAGGATGAGTAGATCATCAATGATCACGACGTATTCTAGGTCGTCATTAGTGTTCCCATCTTCTCTTGGAAGATGTCGGGACTATTACATAGGCCCATTGGCAACCTCTGGTACTCGTACTTTCCCCACGGGAGTACGATGGTACAGTGTTCCTTCGAGTGAGGTGACAGCTCGATGTGATAGTATCCCAGTTCAGGTCTAGACTAGTAGGGTACTTGAATCCGTCTAGATTCAAGAGATGTCCTGTATTTTTTGGGATAGGATAAGCTTCCGCTTAATCCTTTGTTCAGTTCCCGGAAATCAGAGATGAATCGTACAGATCCGTCTTTCTTGGGAATGTGAAAAGTTGGTGCCGCCCACTCGGAACGGTTTTCCTTCTTGAGTACTCCTGCTCACAAGAGACGTTCAACTCCATCTTAAGAGTGTTGTATGGACCCGTGGAATAGGGTAAGCCCTTGCATGATAGGGTTTAGCATCAGGGAGAAGTTCTACTTCGTAGTCGTCCATCTGCCACTTTCCCAAAGTACCATCGAATAGGTCAGAGTACTTCGTCAGTAAGGAGTGAAGCTTGTTCTTCTCTTCCGTGTTTAACTGATCTTGACTTTGGCAACACTGCCTTAAGTCAGCTTGTTCGTATTTCGCATCAGAATCTTCTTGAGACGATCTGCACTGTCATCGACAGCGGCAGGATCAGGAATGAAAAAGTTTCTTCTTCATTGGTGCCGCTATCTTTCATAGGAATAGATGCGCCGTCCATTCCACTGACATGGTAGTGAAATCGAACTTGAAACCTAATCAGAGAGAATATCTCGACCTTATGATCATGCCATACGCCCCTAAGCTCTTGGTACGTGTAAGTCCCACTCGATAATTCTATCTTCGTGGAATTCAGGAATCATGAATGCACCTTTGCACTTCGTGCTGGTGTTTAATTCTCCTGCAGGGGTAGTCCACATCGTTTGGACGCCCCCAAGATCCTTCATGCGTAATTTCTTAGCATGAGTTGAGCAATCAAGTTCCGATGCTCCTGTATCCAGCAAGCAACGGAGTGTAACGGTTTTTGGTTTCCCTTTTTCTCGTTGTTAAATCTAACATAAAAGATGGTTTGAGGTCTCTTGTCTTGCACGTTTTACGAGGTGGTTGGCACGGACGAGGTTAACGAGGCTAAATAGATCATCAGAGTCTAGTTGAGAAGCTTCTAGGCAATCATCTAATTTGCGTGTAGAGTTCATCAGTTGCAAACAATTCTTGTTTACTAGTTAGTGAGATATCTTCATCACTTTGGTATGAGAAATCGAACAGGTTTCCGTTGAGTCATCATCCTGGCCTAATCCTCAAATAGAGATTTCTCCATCCAAGTGATTGAAATTGATAGAGGAGTTGTCCTCATGTCAGAGTCTTCTGATTTGCGCTTGGCAACATGGTTGCGAAGTTTCAAGTGGTGGCACGAGTATCGTCGATCTCGTGTTCTTCGTCATTGTCGACGAGAGGAAGAATGGTTTGTCACGCAACTGTTTCTCAAAGTTGCGGAACGCATGCTTTCCTTAGCCATCTTCATGGTGAAGGAATAGGTTGAGGGTAGCTGAAAGCTATGTGTTTGTTAACAAAATGCACTACGCTAAAAGCTAGTGTAAAGATCTTTCGAGTGTTTGAGTTTGAGAGAATGAAAGTTATGAGAGAGATTAGAAAGCTATGAAAACTAATCAACGAGAGAGATCATCACAAAGGATCGTAGATCTGGCTTCACGCGCGGAGACTATAAAGTGTGATAGAGTAGGTTGTGGTAGTAATCCTACGTCTCTCCACGATCCTAAAACGGAACGCGTGGAAGGTTTGTCTAGCCTGATCTAGTAGCGTGGAAGTACTCCCAGCTGCTAAATATCTAGAGCGATGTTTCATCATCAACCTAGTATGACTAGCGCGGTCATTGAGAACCCTGTCTCAAATGACTATTCACGAGAGACTCAGTCATGAGTCGAACTCAAACCCTATCTAGGATCGAGTCGCGAATAGGCTAAGAGCCGTGTTTCATCATCAACCTAGTATGCTAGCGCGGTCATTGAGAACCTGTCTCAATGACTATTCACGAGAGACTCAGTCATGAGTCGAACTCAAACCCTATCTAGGATCGAGTCGCGAAATAAGGCTAAGCCGTGTTTCATATCAACCTAGTGACTAGCCGTCATTGAGAACCCTGTCTCAAATGACTATTCACGAGAGACTCAGTCATGAGTCGAACTCAAACCCTATCTAGGATCGAGTCGCGAATAAGGCTAAAGAGCCGTGTATTGCATTTCTCTCCCACGTAACATCCATCAAGTTGCATGACAACGTTCTATCTGGCACCTTTCCAGCATCTATGACGAAGTTGACTGCATTGGAGACACTCCGGATTGCAAGCAACAGCTTGACCGGAACTATTCCCAATGAACTGAGCCAGATGTCTGCCCTGGAATCCCTGAGCTTTAGCCTCACTTTGAATGAGACTGAATTCCCAACTGTCTTATTCAGCTTGCCAGCACTCAATATGCTCACCCTCTTGGACAGCACATTGTCTTCAATTCCAACCGAAGTTGGGGCAATGCCTCAGCTAGAAGAATTCGTTGTCATTGCATCCCCTACAGAAGGCACCATTCCATCTGAACTCGGTCTATTGACAAACCTGAGTATTCTACGAATGACGACCACATTCATGTCTGGTGCCCTTCCAACGGCAATAGGGCAACTCAGCCGTATGACTCACTTGGGACTGAACACTCCAACCCTAGACTATCTTGAGCCATTAATTTCCTATCATGGGATAATCGGGAATCTACCAAGCGAGATGTCCCTATTGACAGATCTGGAGCATTTGATCTCAAAAGGCAACAAGTTCTCTGGTCCGATTCCTGACTTGTCAAATGCCACGGGTCTCAGATCACTGAATCTGGATGGCTGAGATTGGAAACCTTGAGAAACTTTCTTGGTTACAGCTTTCTCAGAATCTCATCACTGGAAAAATCCCAAGCCAGCTCATATCCATGACAGACCTGGGAGGATTTTGAGGGTGGGACAATCAACTCACCGGTCCCGTGCCCATGGAGATCGGTCATCTGACATCTTGTGGGAGCTTTCTGTTTAGCAGAAATATATTTTCAGAGCAAATCCCGAGCGAGTTATTCTTGCTTTCCAGATTGGACTTAATTCACTTAAGTGGTAATTCACTTACTGGATTTGTGCCAAGTGAGATTGGCAAACTGCCCTCCACTTAACCACTTTCGGAAAACCGTGTCCCAATCCCTAGAACTGGTTCCGCTTGTCCACTTTGGATCTTCTTGGCTTTGGATTGAACTCACTCAACTCATCTCTTCCGACAGAAATTGGCCAATTTCGATTCCGAACAGAACCCCCAATATTAGGCTACGTTGTTGGAATCATGAGTTTTGTTCGAAACTCTCTTTCAGGAAGCATTCCCAGCGAGATTGGCAACTTAGAAGTGGGGTCTCTAGGTTTGAATTTCAATGAACTCTCAGGTCAAATCCCAACAGAGTTTGGCCAGATCAAGCCTCTGTCAAGCCCATATGCCCTGTCTAAGTTGAGCCAAGTATTTATGTTTGGAAATCGACTTCTCACAGGAACGTTGCCGTCGGAACTTGGTTTGATGACAACATGCTGGTCCTTGTTTCCGGGGGCATGTGCCATTTCTGGCACCATTCCAAGCACCCTGGGCAATGCAACAAATCTGAGACATCTGGACTTGCAATCCAATCGCCTTTCTTGAACTATTCCTCCGGAGCTTGGGTTGTTGACAGTACTGTTTGAATTGGATCTTTCACGCAACTCACTGCTATCAGGGACAATACCAAGCTCTTTGTCATCATTATCCTACCTTGTTTCTTTGAGTCTCTTTCTCAACTCAGGCTTGTCTGGCACACTGCCCTCGGAACTGGGCTCGCTCTCTTCCTTGCAGCTGCTCAGCATCCACAGCACTGCCGTTGCAGGACCTCTTCCTTCTGAGTTGGGTCAACTGTCAACTATGTTGCAGCTTTATCTATACAACAACTGGTTGACTGGAGAGATCCCGTCAGAGCTTGGGAACTTGGTCTATCTGGAAGAGTTGAACCTGTCTGCAAACTTCCTTTCAGGTCATGTGCCATCAGAGTTGGGTCTCATATCAAACCTAACATCGGTTTATCTGCATCGGAATGCTTTGAATGACAGTCTTCCAATGGAGCTTTGCCCATGGTTTGGCAATGCAAATGAAGATCCAGTTCTTGTTGTAACCTGCTCGGTCAAGGACTGTGGGTGTAACTGTTCAGCCAGCTAGCAAAATCTGTCTCTAAATGTTTACCCGGCTTTAAACGTAGTTCGAAGTGAGCGTGCTACTAACTGGAAATTGACGCATTATGTTGTACACCAAGATCCTAAAGGCCATGAATATGACCTGGGGCAGGCTGTCTGGATGCCACAGGCATGTTGCTGTTATGATGCATGTTGGTTGCCAGGCATGAGATGGGAGGAGTTGGGCAGCTAGGCCTGCTCCAAAATTCAGTGTAAGGTTGTCAGCTGGGTGTTACTATGCTTTGCACCAGTGTACTATCTCTATCTAGCTAGATTGAGTTGACAGGCTGGAGTCAGATTCTTTAGAATTGGCTTGGCTGCTGAGAACATGATTCGATTCAGGTGCAGTCAGCAGAAGACTCACTGCAGCCAAAAAGCATGCGGGTATGGCTGGTAGCACACGGTAGATGCATGGGCACTGGTGTGGCTTGCTCACTTAGCTGGAGGATTATAATCATAGCCAATTAAACTTGGCTCTCGCAAGCACCGGTATACCAAGCTTTTCCTTTGGAGGGTCCACCAACTCATGCTGCCTTGACACATGCAAGCAAAATGTCGCGATTGCACAGCCATCAAAGTATCCACACGTGAGCGAGCGACACTTGCTTTGCAAATGCAGGCAGCCATCCTATTACGCATTACCCATTGCCTCCGTGCAGGCAGAGTACGAGTACCTTTTGACACCTCATCTCAGCGTGTACCTGGTTCTGCCGGTAGTAGGCAGCTACAGAGAAACGCAGCATCCCGACCAAGCACTACAACACGACCGCATGATACAGAAACTTTGTGGTTGACGCAGCAAAAGCAATCAGAGGATACTAGCAAACAGCTTGTCCGCTGTTGGGATTTAACAAAAACATTTCTATAACACTTGCCGCTGACAGTATTTCACTGTGCATGAACGAGTTTTGGCTGGTTTTCTACGAGCTGGCTGAATCAATCCGGGATCTTGCAATATTACAAACCACCACGTCATGATTACATGTATCATGTACCGGTACTGGTATCGTACTCGAGTAGAGCGAAGAGATTTGATAGTGTACCGGTGGCGGCTTCAAAGTGGCCTTCAAAGTTCAAAGCAAACGGGTCTAAAAGACTGGTTAATGGTTCGTAGTTTGTGAGTAAAGTTGGGTGAGGGAACCGAATGGAAGCCTCAGGAGAGCATTTACGATCAGGTTTTATCGAAAGAGGCCATTCCACTCAACTCAATTCTTATAGCATGAGTCTCCACCAGAATTCATCTCGTTAAGGTTGAAAACTCCAATAATCTTGCTTAGTCCTTGAATCTACCCCCAGTCATCATCGATTCAGCTGCGTTATCTGTCTAATTTATTTAGAAAGTCTTCCAGGAATATTCAAGGGGTGATCCATGTTCCAGTTGCATCTTCTGGTCAGTCGCACAGTTCAGCCGAATGGTGGATAGAATGGACCTGCTTCAGATTGTTTGATGAAGACTGCGTACGTCTTAACATGGTATTAAATTGGATCTTTGTTCAACTTTGGTAGATACTTCTACTAGCTACGTTATATACAATCCATATTGTAAGGAGCTCAAGTTAGTTACACCAACTTTAATAACATTTCTGATTCTTGCATGGGTAGCTTTGACATCTCATGCCTATTGACTCTGACTGAGATTTGCGAAGTTCGAAATCAAGCAACGGCCTCTTCTTGAGCGACAACGGAGCTTTGTGATGGAGGCACGGGTGGTTTGGCATTTGGGTTGGCATTTGGGTTGGCACCCAGGCTACTAGAGTAGCAGGATGGTGCACAGGATGCCCTCAAACACACTCCCACACAAACCATTACCGTTGACAAAGTTTGGTGCATAGTTTTGTACTTTCATAAAATACACTGAGTTCACCATTCACCATGAGTTGGCCCTTGTTTCTGGTATTGATGAGAAGATGCGATGTGACGGTGGTTCAGGACCATGCGCTGGGACATGCCTGGCCTCATCAGCAGCAGACCCAAGACGACGAAGATGATGACGAGCACGATGGTTACAGTACTGCCTGCTCCTCTTGCTGCGCCAGTCACCTAGAGTGCGATGTCAACTCTTCGGATGAAGAAGATCACAGCCATGCTCACCCCGCCCCACCCTGTCGTTGGCAAGAAGACTGCCCCCATTCCAAGTGCTGCCCCAAGTTGCCTTGTCGAGTTTCAGAGAGAGAAGCGAGAGAAGTATCAGATGATGAGGTGGAGGAAGAAGTGGAGGGTTGCTGTAGTGACACTCATGAGCATGGGCATGAGCATGAACAAAAGAAACATGATCACCACCACCATACCCATACCCATGACCACAGTCACAACCATGGCCATCACCATCACGAGGACGTGGAAGCGCTCAAGGAACAGGATCTGCACAGCCGCTTAGTTACCCCCAAACACAGTCTGAGCCCTCCAGCACGGCCTCGTCCTCACCCTCATCCCCGGTCCACAGCAGCACAGCTTCAGAACAGCCAGATTTACAGCTTGCCCGCGTAACTTTAGTTGCACTCTACGTGCTACCTGCTATCAAGAAGCTATCCTGCATGCACCAGCCACAGTTTTGCAATCCAACCTCAAACAAAGTTTTGTCTAGTTTTCTACCAGCACCAACATAAACATGCATGTTATACATAGCCTACTATATTTTTAAAGCACCACACCATTTGATTCATAGAACCTTCATCGTCCAGGTCAGCCAATGGTACCCACCCCGAAGAAGAACCTCGCGACAGCCACAATCGAGATCCGCAGTCGCATAGCTAGGAAAACCAATCGCTCCCTCCCCATGCCAGCCTGGCTGGAGGCTGGGTAGATGTGTTTTCCTGCCTCCAAGCTCTCCACTCACTTTGCTCGCCTCAAGCAACAACTCACGTTCCAGCCAGCCAGGTTTGGACTATCGATCATGATGCATCCCATTGGTGCAGCGACCTAGAACCACACACCGATACTACCGTAGTACATACTAATAGCTAGCCAAGCAAGCAACTTGGCTCCGACCTATTGATGGGAAGGTAGGACAGCAGCACCACTCGGATGGGTATCGCTACTCAGCAAAGTAGAGCAAAGAATTCAGAATTCTCTTAGCCAGCAACGACCATCTACCATAGCTTCAACAGCTCTCCAATCTATCTGAATGGAACCCCACAACATCAACAGACTGCATCTAAAGCCTATCTTGGTTGCGAGCGAGACGCACAAACCTCCGCAGTCTACTAGCTAGCTAGCTAGTGCTCAATCAACCGAGCTATCAACCGGTACTAGTACTTGCGTGCACAAGCGTACATGTAGACTACTGGTACTTGAAACTCACCCCTCCAGCTCCCCTTCTTGAACTGGTGTCTTTAGCTTTCAACACGGTACCTTTCGGACGAACCCCATCATTAATCTAAAGAGATAAAGGACACTTTCCTTGAAGAAAGTGCAGTCATTGCATTGGAAAGACCAGCACCTGTCCAGAGGAAACAGAGTCTTATTCCTTGTTGATCCTTTTGGCCTTTCCGCACGGAAAGGAGAATTATAATTAGAACTAGATCTACTAGCTAGCTAGAGAAGGGGGGAACCAAAAAATATCGTTGGATCCGAACGCGCGTTACCTTGTGATGGCAACAATAAGAGATGAGTGGCAACACTGGGATAGGAGCTAATACAGTTGTCTCCCTTGGGAAGCAGGCCTTCACAAACGCATTAAAGAGCGTCTTGTTCGAGTGTTCCTGTCTGCTCGGAAGAGGTAACGTCTGATTCAGAAGAGACGCTAGAATCCTTCGGGTCCGAAAACGACACCAATCCAACCCAGGAAAGATTCTTGATTATCCGCCTGCGACGACGTGTACATGTACCAGAGTACCAGGTAGTCTAGCTGGTATCATACCAAGAAGAACATAAGATACGAGACCTGATACGAGTGAATAAACCTGGCTACTGTAGTACTAGCTAGTATCTGTGATTGCGGTTTTGTATGAAAAAAAGATCCTCCTGGAAGGAAGCTCATATCGACAGGCCTTCAAAAATGAGATATTGCTGATCTGGATCGGCACTGTCTCGATGGCGTAGGATTTAACTTTCATTTCTGCATCGGACGCAAAAGTTGGGCATTGCTGGAATAGAGAAGGAGGACTCAAAGCAGGCCCCGAGGACTGGTTTGAAGTAAGTGCATGTAACCTGTTTGAATGAATCTATGACCCCCAGATCTCACACATTTATCGATCTGGCACGGCTTGCTCTCCACGTGCTTCAACGCTCGATAATCAGTTAGCCAAAGGCCAGTCGCTAAATTCACCCGAACACCCCTGAGCGTTTAAGGAGTACCAAGGTAGCCTAGTCTTATATGTTTAGATCTATTATCCAAGAGGGTTCCACGCTGAGGAGTGTTTGTGATTTTCGCCAAAGGTATTTGTTGACGGTTTATTTGTCTCTATTCGGAAGCATTCGGAAGGCGATTATTCGAAAAATTCGTGAAATCGGAACCCAGAAATCATGTGACAACGGTCAAATCAATCCCAGATTGCCCGTCTTTGGAAATTTCAATTCGTGAATCCCATTCTTATACCATGTGATACAGTAGAGAGGGTGTGCGATTTTTCTAAAGAGACGTAAACCAATACGAACCAACCGTTAACATGCAGTCCTAAGAGAAACAAACTGTTGGCTCTTGTTGTCAACAACTCCATCCAACCACCTCCGACCAACAGCAATGCCACTCCAATCCTCATTATTCCTGCTTTCGAAAACCCAAAAAGGTAAGCCGAAGCTATGGTGTTTTCTCCGCTCCTTCTGTTGTTGATTGTCATTGCTTTCTTTTGATTTCATCTAACCCTCTTTCCTTTGTTTTGGTTTGATCAAGATGGCATCCAACCGCTCCATGGGAGTACCTCGAGTTCCAGCAGTGGCGAACAAGATGATGAAGAGCCGCCTCCCTTTGTTGCCGCATTTCATGATGGTCGCTACAAGAGCCTTCGCTTCATGCAGTATTGCACTGACTTCCCCTTGCCCGCCAGGCACACCTGTTCTGGGTGCAACAACTACCTTGCCACCCCATCTGGTGAAACCGATCCTCTTGGTACAAGCGCGCTTCCACCCACAAGAGCCATGCATACCAGTGCCGCCAACATTGGAAGGTTTGTGGTACCGCCGCAGCTGTTCTTGTCCAAGAATATGTCAACACCAACCATGGCAATGTCAGCCGCTACCTTGTCAATGAAGACCCATCTCCTGTGCATGTACCACCAACGTTCTCTTGAGACACTCCTGTTGAACCGATGGTGACGGATATTGTGACGGCTGGCAGCGAGTTGACAGCTTCCACGATGACGGCAAGTGTTGTTACCGAAGAACAAGATGGGCGAAAGGTCAAGAAAGCGAAGTCTGACATCACAGTGGACGACCATTCCATCAATAGCCAGGGTCAGGCATTTACTGTTGCCGGTGTTCCCAAGACACACATTGTTGTTCTCCGTAACAAGTGGGAACGGCTTCGCAACAATGAGAAGAAGATCAAGGACCTGCAGAACGGCTTTGATCACTACAAGTTTACCGGTGGTTCTGTTTTCATGCAGTCGGTCCTAGCCATTATGTTGGCGAGTTGCCCTTCCCTTCCACTCAGCCAGATTTCAGTCATTGCGCCACTTATTGTCGCGGCTTTTCTTTGGGACACCGGTAACATGGAAGGTGTTGACTTGAACAAGTTCAGTACGTCTTTCCCTTCTGAGACCTGGTTTCGAAACATCATGTTCCAGCATGCCGTCGCACTCTTCTTGGACTTGCAATGTTCTTCGTGGCAAGACTGTCTTTCTTGCCTGTGACAAAGGCAACAAGAAGGGTGTCGACACTTTGTCAAGGTGGTGTCCTGGTTTGATACTGGTACAATGGAAGTTCGCCGTCAACTATTGGATATTGATGCAGCAGAAGGAACATCAGATGCTTGTGCAAAGGCCATTGCTTGTTCTTTGAAGAAACTTGGCGATGATGGATTTAAGTTCAAGGACACTGCACTGACAATGGTGGAGGTGGTGTTCTCGATGGATTGTTCCGGTCTATGGATGATCTGAACCTGTGTCGCTCGAACTATCTTGTCGCTAACTGTTGCTTGCACAACCTTCAGTTGGTCGTCAGGAATCCCATTGTCGAAGTACTCGGCGAGGGTGGATTGGACAAGAAGAATGCTATGCAAATGATCCACTGTGTTTACGATCTACAGAACAGCATGGAGAAGGAAGTGTGGCGGACACATGTGGAAGAGGCGGTCAGATTTATGGAAGCCTATCGTACCACTCCCTATGTTGGCGATACATGTGCTGATCAAGTCTTTGCCACGAAGTGGGAACGGGTCAAGACCTCCGGGAGTTCTCTGGATTGGGCAACAAGGACCTCAAGAGACTACTCCTTTCTGTACCGGCCCCAGTTCTTACAAGATGGTGGACAGTTGGGGAAGCGGCAAGGGTAACCTACTTGTGTTATCTACTGATTCTACGCGTAACCCAGACAGTCATCAACGTCCATGACACCAAGAGCAAGCAGCACAAGATCGAATCGAATCATCCTTGGCCGATGCATTTGCATTGCTCCAGAAATCAGGATACTGACGTTTCTCTTGGAAGATTTGATTCCTCGCGTTTGTTCGCCCTGAAGCGCAATACATAAGCCTCGGGGGCATTTGGAAAGATTTGACTGGGCAAGCCGAGTTGTCATTGCTTGTGTACCATGCTTGCTTCCCGGATCCAAACAGAATGTTTGCCATGGATACGTTTCCAGAACATGTATGTATTCAGCAACACAGGGATCGCCAGGTTTTCGATTGCCAACACCAAAGAGGCCTGAACCAGGTCCTGACGTAACAGCAGCCTGATTGTTGGGCGTTGGCATTGTTTACATCCCTATCTCCTTTACTCGTTCGCGGCATTGGCAAACTGGTCTGTCTGATGGTGAGAATCGCAACTCAGGTTCCACCAATGCACCAACCATTGGGTCTTTGCATCTGGATTTGAACCAGGGTTGCCGTATTCACTCCTGTCTTCCGCAAGATCGGTGGTCATCTGATCAGCACGACCCTTCCAACTCGTCGTCGGAGGGCTGGTATCTGAACCGTTCAATTGTCATCGCCAAGGTTGCTGATTGTACGCAAATCGTGAAATCAGTGCGGTGCTCCTCGAATTGGATCCGTCGGAAGCGACGGAATTGTTGCGTTTCGATGTCTTGCTGAGCGAGGGCGGCGTTGCCATGATATTCCAATGGACCCGAATGAAGCGACGACCGTCGCTGGGTCATTGAAGGCGTGATCCCTCCGCATGCCATGGGGAGCGTTGGGCTACCTTTCTAAGCAGCATTCATCCAGAGGGTGTAATTCAGCACCAGAATGTTTCGCATGGTGTCTTCCCACGATGCCGCCATACCATCATTGCTCGGTGCTCCCCCATCATTGCTCAGATGTTGTTGTTGGAGGACGGTCCACTCGCAGGCTATTCCTTGGCCCGAAAGAAACTTGTCCCACCCAACAGCGTTTTGACTCTGAATCAGGACCCCGTGAGCCTCGTCATAGCCAGTTGGATCCATTGCTACGGCTGGCGCCTTTTTCTTCTTCTTATCGCTGGATTTCATTGCCACGCATGCCGTGACGATTCCATCCAATAGTATGTGAATCAACTCGGGGCTGGTACCGATTCCAATGGCTCCGTTTTGGATGCGCTCCAAAAGTTGCCAATCTCTCCGTTCCAGCTTTTTCGTAGCTTCGTCGCCAGTAGCAGTACGACGAGACAAATAATCCAGAGGTGTCATGGTGGACACTTCGTCCGGATTCGATGTCGTCCTGACGTAAGCCACGGAAGGACACGTATCTTGTTTCGGTTCTTGGAGACTGTCGCCTTTGCTTTTTCTCCTTCTCTTGCGCAAACGACGAAAGCACGAGAACAATCGAAATTTCTTGCGTTTGACGGCCGTTGGTGGAGGAGTTGTGGTGGTGGCACTTGGAGGACTCACATCTACGCCTCCAATCGATGCGTGATAGGGAAAGAGGTGTGGTAGCATTCGGTCCAGAGGGAATTCGCAGTGTTGCAATAACAACGACATATCAGGACCGTTTTGAGTCAGCAAAGGAGCTTCTTCGCCGTCGGGGGCGCTGTGTATTTGTTCCGCACCGGGCGGAGCATTGTCCAATGTCGAGTTGGATATACTGGATGCCTCCGGTGTGTCAACAACACCTAGGTCGCTTTGGAGTTGACTGCCAGTAGTACTGCTGCGGTTGCTATGGAGCACTGGCTTAGCCACTTGTGGAGCACTTTGTGATTCTGTCGTGGGAACAATCTCTGCTTCGACTGCAACAGCTCCCATCTTTTGGTCATCCTCGTCGTCGGAGCTCCTCGTATCGTTATCGGACGAGGCAGCTTGTGGAGCAGGTGTCAGCCGGTATGAGCTTGACAAGGACGATTTCCCACCCTTATCTTTTCGCGAGACACGGTCTGAACATCCTGGTTCGGTCTGTCCATCTTCTGTGACTCGAAATGCCCCCGGCTCCTCGTCAAAACCCTGGGCTAGGCTTCTGGTTGGATCAAGGTTGGGGACTCCTGGCTTGGCCAGATCATAAATGCTAGTAGCAGCCTTGTTCGCACCTCTTCGAGTAAAGCTAGTTCGGGGGGAGTCCTTATCTTTGCCACTTTTCTCTGATACAAGCTTCTCCCTACTTCTTGCTGGATAGATGCTACCGATACCAGTTCCGTCAAGAGAGATCCCAGCAGGACCGGCTCTGGGCTTTTCATCTAGGATGTCGGTAGCATAAAAAGATGCCGAGCCGCATATGCTTTCTGCTTCACTCTCGTCGTCTTCTGGTTCCATCTTCTTGGTGCTCTGGTGTTGCCCCGTGGCCCTGTCCCACAGATCTTGTTGAAACTGAACATCTAACTCATTCTCAGGGAAAAGATTCTGCAAGGTCTGATCCGACATTGGAGGTAAGCTTCTCCTCCCTTCCTTCTTGAGCCTTGGGGGGTCAGAAGGCAACAGCTCCATAATATGGTCTAGATTGGGTGGGAGGCTTCTTCTGCCCTGTCTCTTATTGTCGCTACCGGTACCACTTGTGCTGTTGTTCTGAGGTTTCGATTTCCTGCAACTCTCCTCTATTTGTCTCTGGTGTTCAATGGCGAGAGCATCATGGTGACTGTGTATGCGGGATGGCAGCTGCACCTCACGTTCTTGAGGTTGCTGATCCAATAAGCTCATGCCTCGAAGGTCCAAGATATCCGCCATTGAAAAGTCTTCGCTGTCTACAAGGAAAGACTCCATTCTCTACCGGAAGCAAACGAAAGCTTAAGCTTTGTATACCAAAGGTTGTACCGTAGCGGGGATAACTAGCAAAGATCGCTGCCGTTCTTGTAGGGTCTGGTACCGTTCGATAGAAGTGCGCAATCACTGTTGCTGTTTGCTGTTTGCTGAGCTGCTGTCTGTCGCTTTGCCGATTGCCGGGCTTTATGTTACCACGTTACCCCCATCCAAGGAAGAAAACGATGGCTTTTGTGAGGCTTTTCAAAACATGGAGTGTGCCCACAAATAGCCATCGTGAAATAAACCTTTTCACGGTCGCAGTTGGAAACTACAAGTGCACGACTGGATAGGGGAAGAGTTTGGGAAGCTATTACCCCATCCATCATGGCTTTTAAAAAAACCAAGGGAATGATCTATCTAGCTAGACAGCCTCCCATCTCGCTACACGAAGCCGAGCTCTAGCTAGCTAGTAGTCGTCCAAGTACCTTCGCCCTCGCTGTGACAGTGCACTTGTAGTTGCTCGACCACGTGATTTGTCTTCCTCAGTTTCAATGGGTCACCTTTCTTGTTAGTGTTGTTCCGTGATCTACCTGTAATTTTGAAAGGATGCCGGTATCCAACAATTTCCCCCCAACACAACACTGTAACAATCGAAGCTTCCTATAAATTTGATCTAAATGCAATTCAAAAATAGATTCGGTAGCTAGCTAGCTAGCCCAAACAACTATGATATACATGTAGTGGAATCATCAGATGCTGCTGTGGTTGGTGTGGTTGGTTGGTCACTCCCCACAGCAGAAACACAGATTGATGCAACTTGCTCAGCCTAGATCTTGAGGATTTCCAAAGGAAGTCAGGGTGATTGTAAATCTCTTGCTTTGGAAATGTTTTCACCTTTGACGCCTCCAAGAAATTGGAAAGTGCCTCCGGTGTTGGGTAGAGCTGTTCAAAGTTGGCAGGGAGAACTATGTGTATCTCTTCCTCAATCTTGTTCCTGAGCTCTGCACTCTTGAGGGATGATAGTCCATTCTCAGCCCCATGTTTTGATACCAATTTGGGGAATGATGGTACCTTGCAGGTTGTTCCTTCCCAGCCATAACTTCTTCAAATTGGTCAGCAATCCCAGCTCATCGGGAAGACTTCCTTGGAGGTTGTTTTGCATGATATGCAAAGTCTCCACTGTTTGGATGCTTTCATCATCATGACTGCGACTGCTGCTGTTCTTGCAGACTTGTTCCTTCATAAACCTGGCCGTGGAGAACCAAGTACAAGCAAAGTGCTCATAGGAAAGCCAGGGTGTGGAGGTGATGTTGACTTTTCGTGTTGCCCCTGGTGGAGGTGGTGAATGTGGTGAAGGTTTTCCTGATGTAGTTGTGGCGGCGGAGGTGTATATCCAGAATATGGAGAGAACATGACTATTGTATCAACGGCATCATAATCCAAAGCAACAGTGCCTCCACCTTGATGTTCCCATTGGTCTCCTTCGATTGGTAGAATAGTAAAATGTCGCCATGGCAACGCGTTTCAAAAGTGTTGCTGGTGTATGATTTGCTAGCCATGGATCACTCCTGATCCAGTGATAAGCCTTGAAAACAGGGTGGACCCTGCTTTGATTTGTGCTGTGCTGAAGCATGATAGTATGTATGGTAGTGTTGGGAATGCCAAAAGGCAAATCCCACTCCCAGGTGTTGTTGCTGATGATTGTGCTGTCATGTGACCCTGCGGTGTTGTTGTTTTCTGGGTGCTGGAACGTTTCCTGTGGATGTTCCTGTCCAGCGGTATTTTGATCCACGATCACGGACACTAACAAGATGGCCACCATTGCAGCAGAAAGCAGGACAAGGAAAAGGCACCATCCAAATTCCTGCCGCTTTGAATGATGTCTTGGTGGCGGATCGTTATTGAAACCTTCCACCCTCATGGCAGTAGGTATTTCAGTAGTATGAGGTACGGGAGTGGCTTCCGCCAAGTCTTCTTCTTCTTCCAAAGTTCTGGTGCCAGCTTCCATTGCACTTTGATTTGTGGCTCGGAAGGTTCCAACTTCGTCATGTTCATCATCCATAATCGTATGTCTGTTGGAATGCAACAAGGCTCCCGGATCACTTTCACTGGTCACGGAACGCTGCAGTGTTGTGGACGCCGACAAAGTCGATGGGTTTGGCTGTGGTTCTCGAGGTCTCGTACCGGGTGCCCGTCCCGATACGCATATGCTCCTGGTTCCGTAGCACTGCTGGATTGGTGTGTGGCCACTTCGACATAACCAGCTTGACGTTCCAATAAAATAGCAATCGGAGTTCTTCAATGACCTTTAAAAAAAACCATCTGCTGGGTACGACTGTGGCGGTGTTACGCGGTTACGCGATTACGCGGGTTTTATGATGTGCCGTTGCTTCATCGTGCTGTCCTGGAAGTCTGGTTGAGGTGTGCGAGGTGAGAGGTTGGCAGAAATCCATCAACACGACGACCCCATTAAATTTTTGATGCTTTCTTCCTGATTGCTTCGATCCACGGTCCGCGATCCAACAGCATGAAACTTGATTGAATCGAATCGAATCATTCTTTGCGGCCATCGAGAAGACAAGCGGCGGCATTGGAATGACGTACCCGGTACTAGTTCCGGTACTGCCAGCTAGAAGTTGGCTTGCATCCCGAGTCGGTTCTCTAGTCTCCCTCATGTTCCGTCTTTGTTGGTTGGGCTCACTTCGAAAACGTGGCGGCAAAGCAAGAAGCGCCCCTCGTTTCCTTACTGGCACGCTACGGTATGATATCGGCGGGGAGAACAAGCAAAGTTTAACCATTACACTACCGTATTGCGAAGCCTGTACACAGACACGTGCATTGGAAACAGGAAAGAAATGAAAATGTGGACGCCTGCAGTATACAGAGTCCCTGGAAGGATGAAGAATGAATGGATGCACCTCACACGAGGCAGATGCAAGACTTAATAAAAAGCCTCTTCCTTGGGAGGATTGACCCAGAACGTGGTTGTGGCCCCCATGTCGGGAACAAAGACACGAGCTTTGACTTGTGTTGGGATCTCAGGAGCCTGAGACTCCAAAAACACCTGAGTACTGTCCGCGCAGAGGATGCATCCAGCTTCTGACTTGTGTCCAGCAAGGTACGAAACAGCATCAACGGTGGGCCCGTAAAGTGAGTACCGAGGTGTGCCTCTGCCAACCACCTTCCCCTGCACTGGTCCACTGACCAAGGCTGTCTTTATCTGAACGTGGCCATTTTCAGGATGTCCTTCATCAATGAGCACTTCACGGGCTGCTGAAGCAGCAAGGATGGCAAACCTTGCCATTCGCTTTGCGTGATCATTCACCTGATCCTGGATGCAGTTCGTGGCACCCATCCAGCCACCACCTCCGCTCATATCAACCTTGAACACATTGTGTTCCTCAGCCAGCGCATCCAATCGATCAAACAGACGATGCAGCAAGTCAGTGACCTTAATTGGAGGAAGCTCCGATGAAAGGGTTCCAAAACCCACAATCTCGCAATATACCAATGTAACTGTTTCATGTGTCCCCGGTTCCACTGTCTTCCCTCCGCCAAGTGCCTTTGCAATGTGAGCAGGGAAGAGCTTTTTGAGAAAGCCCAACTCACCCGACTCCTCCTTCTCAACCTGGTACTCCACATCCACAGGATTGAATCGGTTGATACGGCTAGCAAGCTCATTCAAAGTCGGTCTCTCCTCAGGATTGGCCAGGAGACAGTCATGCATCATGGCAGCAACGCAGGATTGCATGTTCGGAGGGTAAGGTGGTCTCTTGTTCACTTTGGGATCTTTGATCTCTTGAATCACAACACTTGGTTCTTCTCCTTGGTATGGTGTCGCTCTGGCATACATTTCCCACACTGTGATACCTAGAGCATACACATCGCTTGCAGGGGTGCTCTCTGTCCTTTGGGGCAGCAACTCTGGGCTCGTCCAATATGGAGTCCCAGGCGTGCCAGATCCAAAGTCAGCAACCTTGGCCCTTAGCTTTTCATCAATTAACACATTGCGGGCCTTCAGGTCTCCATGGACGACCTGCTCTGGCTTGGTGTTGTGCAGGAACCGCAAGCCTTGTGTCACGTCCTTCAAAATGTCGAGAATGAGCTGCCCATCCATCTTTGTGTCGCTGCGCACGAGATCAAAGAGGGATCCACGCTCCATGTATTCAAGAACCAAGCTGGGCGTTGATCTTCCCTTGACAACAGCTCCCATGACGCAGACAATGTTGCGATGCTGCAACCTAGACAACATGCGAATCTCCTTGATGAAGGCTTCGCGATGAGTCTTTCTTTTGGCAAGAGAAGAAGAGCCGCGAAATGAGGCTATTTTGGATGAGCCCCCATCGTGCAAGATTTGTGACTCGGTTGTGGATCCCTTCGATATGTGTGTGCGGCGGATAGTTTTCACTGCCACCTTGCTGCCGCAATACTCGGCCAGGACCACTTGTCCAAAGCTTCCTGAGCCAATAATGACAGGTGGAACCGGAATCGCAAGCTCCTTTGGATCAATCTCCCATACAGAGTCGGCCAGTCGACGCCTGTGCTTGGCATACCAGTAAAAGGCCAAACAAGCCAGGACCACAATGGGGATAAGAAAGGCCGCAACCACGGCACCGGCTTTCATGCAGTTGTCATTCATTGCAACTGTGCCAGGACTACAAATGCAACTGCCTTCAGCGTCGGCAATCCGGTTGTCTCCACAGTCCTTGGGGGTAACAAGAACTGAAAGGGGAATGGTGACTGGAGCACTGTAGAAACAATCCGGATAGCCATCATCTTGAACATCAAATACAATGGAATCTGACTGGGTACCAGTGGCCAGTTCTGATGTAGCAACCTGGAATTGAATGGGAAGGAACTCCCCAGAGCGAAGAGTGTAGGTGTCATCTGAGAAGAGTTCAGAATCGTTGATCAGGACCCAAGCGGGAATCTTACTGAGTGATAGCGTCACGTCCAAGTTCCCCCCATTAACAATCATACTGCTTCCCTCCAGGACTACACCACGCTCCCCCTCCATGGAGACAGCAGGATCGGCAGCATCAGGCCCGCCCACCAAGCTGCTGTATTCGGATGTTGTATAGACTTGAATAGCCTTGTGAATTTCCGCTTTGGGGGCAAAAACCAGGAGAGTCCAGTCGGCCACAGTGTCCCAGTTCTCGTACATGACATAGAATTCCGTGGGGGAATCCTGCCCCGTGAGGGTCGCATTGAGGGTCTCAAAGGCTCGCTCTCCTTGAGGCGTTGCTTGAATTTTTTCCCAAAGACCTTTCCAGTTTGCATTGTCCAACTTGGTAAGGTCTTGCAGAATCGTATCCGAGGGCAAGTAGGTCTGGTTCCTTCGATCTTGAATGACCATCTCATCCACTAGATCATAAGTGACCCGGACCTCTTCCATTCCAGTCCTTTCCGGATAGAGGCGGTTCACCACCTCCTGAGAGATCACGATGGTGTTAAAGTTAAAGTCCACCAGCAGCCCGAAACTATTGGGCGTCAAGGCATCTTGAAGATCGTCCAGAAATGCGGATACGTCACTGACCTTGATATCGATCCCTGCAGTGGCCACAAAAGTATCCTGATAGTTGTAGCCCTGAAACCGTCCAGTATAGTAAACCGGAGCAACTGCTGTGATTAGCGCAACTCCAGGGAGAGCAACATCCGGGCTAAAGAAGAAAGGAGAGAGCACTGTGAGACAAAGTCAACTCATGGTTTCAATCTCTAGCAAGCTCGGGCTGTAAGTAAGACTTACTAAGGTGGGGCAAAGGTGGCCTTTCGTTCGGGATTGTTTTGGGGTAGGGCCGGAGTGATGAACAGGTCTACCCTGGAATCATACTGCTCGCCCACAACATCTCCGATGGTAAGGGGATGCCCGTAAACCGAGAGAGGTGGGTAGTACATGAACGTGTCTGCCTCGCCGCCCACCCAAGCCGCCGTGTAGAATGACTGAGTGTGAAATTTCTCCTTCTTGTCTCCTTCAGTCCTTCCGTTCATGTGATCTTTCCACCACGCATATTGCTTGGATTTGCGGTCCACAAGCCATGGCAACAAAGGAGACAGGGGATCCAACATGGCAAACTCAGAATACAGGTCTCCTACTGACGGCATGTTCTTGAGACCGACAAACCGATCCACGCGTCTATCCGGTCTGTCGTCGGCGTACCCCAGTCCTACTTGGACCGTTGTAGTTCCATTGGGTACCCCCCTTGCTTGCCAATCGAGTGTTTGTCCCATTTCTTGCAAAGACCGAAACTCACTGGTCCAGTTTCCAGAATGCGCAAATTCACTCACGTATTCTCGCATCAGTTCCACATCTTCAATGGCAGAGGAGAAAAAGTTCCGGGCATTCGTCGACACCAGGCGTGTTACATCCAGGCCACCAATGGCATTGCAGATCTTGAAATGCTTGGCTTTGTTTCGGGTGCTTTCTTTGGGTGCCATGGTCAGAGATTTATTTACTTTTCTTTGGTGCTTTTTCTTCAGGGATTTTTGAAGGTTTCGAGAGGGAGGCTCCAGAGAGCTTGAAGGGTAGCTTTTGTGAGATTGGCACGGTAGTAACATCGAAGCTAAATTTCGGCTTTTCTCTAACATCCAAGCTGAATTTCGGCTTTTCTTTGCTTCTCAGTCGATAACTTCGTTATGGCTTACTATACCGGTACCCCCTTAATTCCGTTGTACCGCTACCAATCCAACATGCCGCAGTCATGCCGCCATGTCGAAGTGGCCATCTCCAAGTGAAGCTCGGACAACGAGGAGGGGCAAAGTCTTCATTGTGCGCATGCCGTAAGATGTCCTTGATGAATGACTAGAGATTCCCAACAATCTGTACTTCTTTAAATCCGCGTCGGCAAACTTGACTCTTTCTATACACTGTACCGGTACGCGCACAATAAGACTTGAGTCGCGTACCGGTACTAGTTTCTCAAAAGCCTTAACATACAGTACATGTACATTATCTCTTTTGCGCACTCTGTGAGGTCATTTGACTTGACTCAGAAACGAAGGAGAACAAAGCGTGTACTGGAGCACTAGATTTACCGTACAAGGGAAGAGAATCTGATGCATTCAACCTCTTCAGCTGCACTTCCCAAATGGCCATTCCGGAAGTCCCTCGAGAAAGTGGAACAGGCACCGAACCCTAGCTACATACATACATACATACATACATGTAGCCACATCTCGAGTGGACGAGAAGCCGAGGTCATTGACAAAAGACAAAGGGGAACAGGGCATACCTGGTACAGTGTACCGGTACTAGATTAACCGGTAACCGTGAAGAGCTGCATTTCAACCATTCAACCTCCACAGCGCCACTTCCGTGTTCCGGTGACATGGCCAGATCTGCTTGGACCGCGCCATCCTCAAAGGCTCCGGTTCCGAAAGCAGAGTCGAGTCTGCAGACAACAGATTTGCGAGCTTTCTTCTTCTTGTCGTCGACGATCTTGCGGTTGAAACAGATGACCTTCCGACCGTCTTCATTGGTTGTCTTATTTTAAAATAAATGGCGTCCATGGTGTACTTGACAGAGATGACATTGGAGTGGCTGCTGATGTAAGCACCTCATGGACCTCCTTGTCAGAAAGAGCATTGCGATCAAAGATCATGACTCTTCCTTCATCCGCGTGGTGAGCCTCTTCATTCATTTCAACGTAACCAACCTCTTGGTACAGTACTTACTGCCTAACCATCTTGGCGTATTTTATGAGCAGCCAAGCCTTCGAGCAACAGCCTTCAAGCAACAGACCAAGAACACGACCCGTATGGGTTTGAATTTGAGTTTTGCGGCGGCTTTGCATGGATCCAGTGAACCACGGTGTGACGCCATTCTTCCAATCCACCAATTAACAGCCACTCGACAGACAGCCCGCAATTCCTCCAACAGTAACAGTGACAGTCCACACTTCCTTCCACCGACAGGCGCCGACGACAGTCAATAGCCCTTCCGACGACAGCAACATCCCATTCCAACGACGGCAGCTACAATCCAACGACGGTCACAATTCCACCAAAGCAAAGCGTCACACTCCACGACACCACCAACCAAACATGAGTTTCCCATTCTTGCTCCCAACACACCTCAATCTTTAGCAATGGCCCCAGCTTTTAGTTAGCAGAGTGCACTCCATCCTAGAGACTTCTCCGACGTAAGGTTCATCACTTCAGCAATCCATTCCAGGCAGAGTAGCCATGCTTCGTTGTCCATGTTTCTAGTTGTAGTTCATGAACCAGCTGAGGTTGCGCTTCGCGTGGTTCTTCTATGCTATCGGTGCTATGCAAAGTTTTGGAGTTGGTAGTGTGCTTCACACTGCCAATCGTCGGTGCAAAGTGAGCGCAAAATTGCTCTGACTCGACTCGTTTGGAAATTTCCTTCAAAGCAAGCACTGTCGGAGATGAGCTTGCTTGTCCATGGCTCCCCTTCTTCGGATGACATCTTCAAAGGGTGGTGACGAACTCCCTCTTGTTATTGGCCATCGCTCCCAAAGACATCGATGACAAGCGATTGATTTGCGTCCGACAAAGATCTGGGCATGGGTTTGCCCTCAAAACAGATGACGGGAACTGCACCTTCAATGGTATCATCAGCAGCGACAGGCTCGCTCAGGCAGTCAAATCCCCGTTGTGGGCAGGGAACGGGGATTTGACTGTCTGTTTGATATGGTGGCCGGACGTGATGTTCCGGACGTACTGACTGGGTAGCGCCCTTGAAAGTGTGACGGATCTTCTCCACAGCCAGGGACGTGCAAGAAGAAAGGTTGTCAAGCGGAATGACGAAACCCTCATTGGTAAGAATGCATTGTCGGCCACCAACTACTAGTCTTCAGCCCGATTCTTGTAGTATTCGAAAAAGACCGGCGGGATGGATGGTACTATTGACTCAACCAGTGGTAAGCGTATTGACGGAAGACACCAATGCCTGGGCCCTTCTGCTGCATAGCAATTTTGCTGGCTGCGTCCACAATCTTCAGCCCATTGATCAGATCCCATAATTGTCAATACCGGTGACATCAATTTTTTGTTGGTGGGTTACAGTAACTCGTGCCACCGTTGGCTCCCCTATCCATGAGAGAGCCTCTGTCGTTCTTGCTGCGCACAGTGGATGTCTGAACTGTACAGCGATAGACAAAACGACCAAGGGCGGTCAGTATCATCGGAAGGTACAACCTGGGCGGTCTGTCCATGTACCCCGACGTGTATTTCGTCTGCCCTTTGAGAGAGAAGGGCTGCAGATTGACAGGACTGTGTTGGATCCGGCCAAACCAAAATGCTTCTTCTTGGACTGATCCCCAGTAGGAGTGTTGTCCGCAGAGGACCCGGAGCTCCAATTGGAACCAGAGGAAGAGGACTCAATCTGGTAGCAATCTGCAGACATCATCTGGCACACCGATTTTGTAACAGAAGCACAAGGTGTCCTCTTGCGTCCTCGGTGGTGGACTCGCTTCTGTTTGGAACTCACGACCGTGAAAGGTGTCTCGGATGTTGCAGGTGTCGTGGGGGCATGAGTAACCGGTGTAGCAAACTGAGGCTGACTGTCCTCTAAAAGTTCAAATAGAGGCGAGCTAGTGTCCTGAAGATCTTGATTTCGAATGGTCTTGAGGCGAGGATCACCTTCGGGGACTCCAACAATGTCAACGAGGCTCAAGGATGCGACCATGTGGGTGAGGACACCAGATGTGTTCGTGAGAACATCTGCCGGATGATTAGTCTCTTGAGGAGGAAACGGATCATGGGTGGTAACCACCTGTACGGTAGGTCGGTCTCATTGATGTGAGGTGCCTTGCTGTCAATTTCTTGGACGCTGACTTCTTCTAGGTCAAAAGGATAGAGACGTTTCTTGAGGAACCTCGGCTTGGGGACATGTGCATAGGGATTGTGCATGTTACCGTGTGGTTCTGGAGCAGGTGAGGGGACGGCAAACAAGAATCATATGTGGTAATCGTACTTGTGCAACGTTTCCAGAGAGTAGATCAGGTGGTGTCCTGAAGCATTTCGTGGTTGTACGTGCTACGTCGCCAGCTAGATGCCGTAGGACTTGGTAGTGCTACCATGTGTAGAATCATAGATGGCGGCATGCTTGAGAAATTTGGCGATGTTGTTCTTCGCGGCACGTCTAGCTGGCTGGCATTTGAGTCTGGCGAACACTGGAAAGGTTGGCTACACCGGAGACTGCTTGTTCAAGGAATTGAATGAGCTGTCCATCGCTCTACGTGTCGGGTGTGTGCTAGAGTCATTTGCACATTGTAGATGCGGGCTTGTTCCTTCCAGTTGAAACTGAAGTTAGTTTGACTTCCACACCATGTGCCTTTTGCGAAATTTGAAGTGGTCATGGACGAGGAGATTTGTGACGCTCGAAGTGTGGCCGTCATTCCAGATGGCTCGCGTGTTATTGTTGTCAAGGTTCTCGGCTAGAGCAGGCAAGATTGCTGGCAGTAATCTTGATGCAATTGATCTGTCCTGTAGAGCCACTCCTTCTGTAATTTGTCCAATGCGAGATTCACAGGGTTGTGATCTTCGATGAGGAGGTGATGGTGGCAGTGGGATTTCATGGTCGTGAGGAAATGTTGTTTCTACTTGGGCCAGATGGACTCGTCACGGAGGATCTCCTTGTAATCGCTGCGGGAGATCTTCACGTTCTTGCTCCGCTGCATGGCTGCCTGCTCAAGTTCGTCTTCGGCTGCCTTGGGTGTCGCACGTTGTTCCATGGTCGGATCTCGGCAGTGACATCCCATACGCTCATGCGAAATTCTTGGTACATTGCATTGTATCATGATCGATGTGATGAGCACGAACGAACAAGGAAGGTTCGACAGATGTGATGGTAGCAGCATTGGATGCTTGCAAGTTGCCGTCGTCGTAGGGTGAGAACGATGGGTCATGCTGGAGTGTTCTTGTCAGCAGCTGGGAGTTGGAGATCTTGAATGTCGTCTTTGCAGAGATTCCAAAAATGGTGGATATCGGTGATTCCAACGTCAGCTAGTGCGAAGTACAGTTTGGGGGTTCCCAATCGGCGTCTGGACAAGCAAGGATGTGCTTGAGGAAGTTCCTGTCGTTTGCTTTGGACTTGCTCACCTGGTCATCGTTGAACCATGATTGCAAAATAGTGTAAGTGTTGGTGAGCGTGATTGTGACAGAACAATTTGCTAATTGAGGCAATGCTCAATAGAAAGACTTGCCCTCCTTCTACAAAATCCAACAGGCCTGGAGGAAACAAGTGGTCAATCCACCCAACAAGGCACCTGCCCCTAGCTATCATATAAGGAACCCTGTCACACAGAAACAGCTCAATATCTAGTGAGTGATTGTTGCCTACAGGAGGCCACCCAACCTTGGAAATCTACACTCCCACCGCAAACTAGATGACAAACTGGGGCCCCAGCCTCATACTACTACCAGCTCGAGTAGAGGCTTTGGGGCCCCGGTTGGAGCCAGGAGCAATCCAAGGTTGCCCCCTAGCTGGAACCTATTGAAATCCCAGTGCCTACCTTTTTTTAAATCCCTAATGGTCAGGGACTCCCCTGCTGCTTGCAAGTGATGAAGCACCTCGTGAAACTCGCACTTCAATCCTTCCTGAGTTTGGATCTCAAGCAGCACTGCTTTCAGTATAGACTAATGTTGTAGTCCCCAAAACTATTAATTCTTGTAGAACTAGTAGTATTTTAAAGTGAACTGTGTGAGTGGCGAAGCCGCAAGCTGCGAACACAAACTGCCCCCCCCCAAGGTTTTTTCTAACCTTCACTCAATAAAAAATTTCTAAATTGAGAGATGATGACAACGAACCTTCTGCAGGGTCCTTTAGTTTCGATGCAGCTGTAATAATACCTCTTGAACCAATACTGTGGTTTTCATATACCTAAAGTCTACTCATTATACTACCATATTGTAAAGCCTGTACACCAGGTTCATTGGAAACAGGAAAGAAATGAAAATGTGGAAGCCTGGAGCATTGAGTCCCAGGAAGGATGAAGAATGAATGGATGCACCTCACACAAGGCGGATGCAAGATTAGGAAGCCTCTTCCTTGGGAGGATTGACCCAGAACGTGGTTGTGGCCCCCATGTTGGGAACAAAGACACGAGCTTTGACTTGTGTTTGGATCTCAGGAGCTTGCAACTCCAAAAACTCATGAGTACTCTCAGCGCAGACAATACGCCCAGCTTCTGACTTGTGACCAGCAAGGTACGAAACAGCATCAACGGTGGGCCCGTAAAGTGAGTACCGAGGTGTGCCTCTGCCAACCACCTTTCCCTGCACTGGTCCACTGACCAAGGCTGTCTTTATCTGAACGTGGCCATGTTCAGGATTTCCTTCATCAATGAGCACTTCACTGGCTGCTGAAGCAGCAAGGATGGCAAACCTTGCCATTCGCTTCGCGTGGTCATTTCCCTGATCCTGGATGCAGTTCGTGGCACCCATCCAGCCACCACCTCCACTCATATCAACCTTGAACACATTGTGTTCCTCAGCCAGCGCATCCAATCGATCAAACAGACGATGCAGCAAGTCAGTGACCTTGATTGGAGGAAGCTCCGATGAAAGGGTTCCAAAACCCTCAATCTCACAGTATACCAATGTAACTGTTTCATGTGTCCCTGGTTCCACTGTCTTCCCTTCACCAAGTGCCTTTGCAATGTGAGCAGGGAAGAGCTTTTTGAGAAAGCCCAACTCACCCGACTCCTCCTTCTCAACCTGGTACTCCACATCCACAGGCTTGAATCGGTTGATACGGCTAGCAAGCTCATTCAAAGTCGGTCTCTCCTCAGGATTGGCCAGGAGACAGTCATGCATCATGGCAGCAACACAGGATTGCATGTTCGGAGGGTAAGGTGGTCTCTTGTTCACTTTGGGATCTTTGATCTCTTGAATCACAACACTTGGTTCTTCTCCTTGGTATGGTGTCGCTCTGGCATACATTTCCCACACTGTGATACCTAGAGCATACACATCGCTTGCAGGGGTGCTCTCTGTCCTTTGGCGCAGCAACTCTGGGCTCGTCCAATATGGAGTCCCAGGCGTGCCAGATCCAAAGTCAGCAACCTTGGCCCTTAGCTTTTCATCAATTAACACATTGCGGGCCTTCAGGTCTCCATGGACGACCTGCTCTGGCTTGGTGTTGTGCAGGAACCGCAAGCCTTGTGTCACGTCCTTCAAAATGTCGAGAATGAGCTGCCCATCCATCTTTGTGTCGCTGCGCACGAGATCAAAGAGGGATCCACGCTCCATGTATTCAAGAACCAAGCTGGGCGTTGATCTTCCCTCGACAACAGCTCCCATGACGCAGACAATGTTGCGATGCTGCAACCTAGACAACATGCGAATCTCCTTGATGAAGGCTTCGCGATGAGTCTTTCTTTTGGCAAGAGAAGAAGAGCTGCGAAATGAGGCTATTGTGGACGTAATGGGTGCAGATGAGCCTTTTTCCATGTCATCACTCGAGATTTGTGACTCGGTTGTGGATCCCTTCGATATGAGTGTGCTGCGGATGGTTTTCACTGCCACCTTGCTGCCGCGATACTCGGCCAGGACCACTTGTCCAAAGCTTCCTGAGCCAATAGTGACAGGTGGAACCGGAATCTCAAGCTCCTTTGGATCAATCTCCCATACAGAATCAGCCAGTCGACGCCTGTGCTTGACATACAAGTGGAGGGCCAAACAAGCCAGGACCACAATGGGGACAAGAAAGGCCGCAACCACAGCCCCTGTTTTCATGCAGCTGCCGTTCATTGCAACTGTGCCAGGACTGCAAATGCAATTGCCTTCAAAGTCGGCAATCCGGTTGTCTCCACAGTCCTTGGGGGTAACAAGAACTGAAAGGGGAATGGTGACTGGAGCACTGTAGAAACAATCCGGATAGCCATCATCTCGAACATCAAATACAATGGAATCTGACTGGGTACCAGTGGCCAGTTCTGATGTAGCAACCTGGAATTGAATGGGAAGGAACTCCCCTGAGCGAAGAGTGTAGGTGTCATCTGAGAAGAGTTCAGAATCGTTGATCTGAACCCAAGGGGGAATCTTGCTGAGTGATAGCGTCACGTCCAAGTTCCCCCCATTGACAATCATACTGCTTCCCTCCAGGACTACACCACGCTCCCCCTCCATGGAGACAGCAGGATCGGCTGCATCAGGTCCACCCACCAAGCTGCTGTATTCGGATGTTGTATAGACTTGAATAGCCTTGTGAACTTCCGCCTTGGAAACGAACACCAGGAGAGTCCAGTCGGCCACAGTGTCCCAGTTCTCGTACATGACATAGAATTCCGTGGGGGAATCCTGTCCCGTCAGGGTCACATTGAGGGTCTCAAAGGCTCGCTCTCCTTGAGGCGTTGCTTGAATTTTTTCCCAAAGGCCTTTCCAGTTTGCATTGTCCAACTTGGTAAGGTCTTGAAGAATCGTATCCGAGGGCAAGTAGGTCTGGTTCCTTCGATCTTGAAGAATGACGCTCTCATCCACTAGATCATACGTGATTCGGATTTCTTCCATTCCAGTCCTTTCCGGGTAGAGGCGGTTCACCACCTCCTGCGAAATGACAATGGTGTTAAAGTTAAAGTCCACCAGCAGCCCAAAACTGTTGGGCGTCAATGTATCTTGCAGATCATCGAGAAATGCTGAAATGTCGCTAACCGCGATATCGATCCCTGCAGTGGCCACAAAAGTATCCTGATAGTCGTATCCCCGGAACCGGCCACTATAGTACACGGGAGCAAGTGCTGAGATGAGCGAAACTCCAGGGAGTGCCAAGTCCGGGCTGAAGAAGAAGAAAGGAGAGTAAGAATGCTGTGTTTGAAGTTTCCATCTCTAGCTAGCTTGGGCTGCAAGCAAGTATGACTTACTACGGTGGGGCAAATAGAGCCTTTCGTTCGGGGTTCCATTGGGGTAGGGCCGGGACGACGAACGGTTGTACCCTGGAATCATACTGCTCCCCCACGACATCTCCGATGGTAAGGGGATGCTCGTAAACTGAGAGAGGTGGGTAGTACATGAGTGTGTCTGCCTCGCCGCACACCCAAGCGGCCGTGTAGAAGGATTGCGTGGGAAATTTCTCCTTCTTGTCTCCTTCGGTCCTTCCATTCATGTGATCTTTCCACCAGGCCGATTCCTTGGATTTGCGGTCCACAAGCCATGGCAACAAAGGAGACAGGGGATCCAACATGGCAAACTCAGAATACTGGTCTCCTACTGACGGCATGTTCTTGAGACCGACAAACCGTTCCACGCGTCTATCCGGTCTGTCGTCGGCGTACCCCAGTCCTATTTCGACCGTTGTCGTGCCATTTGGCAATCCTCGCGCTTGCCAATCGAGTGTTTGTCCCATTGCTTCCAACGTCGGAAACTCACCGGTCCAGTTTCCAGAATGCGCAAATTCACTCACGTATTCTCTCATCAATTCCACATCTTCAATCGCCGAAGAGAAAAAGTTGCGGGCATTCGTCGACACCAGTCGTGTCACATCTAGGCCGCCAATGGCATTGCAGATCTTGAAATGCTTGGCTTTGTTTCGGGTGCTTTCTTTGGGTGTCATGGTCACTTGATTTGATGCTTCAATGCTTTTTGAATGGTTTCCTTTTGAGAGGGAGTTTCCACTGACCTTGCAGGGCGACTGCTTTTTATGAAACCTTTGCATGCCCAAGAAAAAGGACATCGCCTTTTCTTTGGCCAAGCCTGGTCGGCATCTGCTGGCTTCGTGGGTAGTACCAACTGGACCCCCTACTAATGCAACATCCCACTGCTAGTCTTCTTCCGCCGCCCGAACTGAAGATCCAAAATTAACGATGAATGACTTCAAATCCTCTGTTCCACTGATGAGCGGATGAAGTAAGATGATGTCCTTGTCGAATGACTACTATGGTAGTAGGTCTCGGAATCGAATGGAATCGAATCACCGACACGGACCGTCAGAAACTTGCTTGCCCCAATGCCTCGGGGCAGCTCTTGGGCACAGATTGGAGTGACTCATCAGTTCCCCATGCCCAAAGAAACAAGGAAAGAACAACTAAACTTTTGCAAAGCGTTAGCGAAGTTGACAGGCTCTCATCGGATTCTCTCTGCTGCTCTCTTGATTGTACGAATTAATAGAAGCCATGAGGTCATGTGACTATGTGACTTAATTAATCGTTGCCAACCCGGAAAGAGATAAATCAACCATCGAAGAAATGGTTCATCCTCCGATTTATTAAAGAGCACTATCGGGGAAATCAAGGTTTATAAAAAATAGAAAAGAGTTAAAGGACATTGTTGAACATAGAGTCATCGGCGCTCATCGCACATAGAGGGTTACTACAACTCTAGACTCTAGTAGATCTCTATTTAACACGGGCATTGTGTTTGAGGAGAAAAGAGGGACCATCAAGCAGAAATCTTGTACCTGTACTTTATGACTTTATGTCATTAATAGGATTTCTGAAATCCTGCTTTCTGGAAACCTGAACCAGTCGGTCATTCTGTCGGTCATTCGGCAGGTTCAGGGAGACCAAAACCGGTGGTACTTGCTACCTGTACCGGTAGATAGCTACTAGCTAGCTAGGGTGTGTTTCTGTCAACGGGAGGGATTTTGCGGCCAAGAACTGTCGGCGGCATCCTTCCTTGCTCCCTTTCATGTTTCAAGTTGTGCCGTTTGTCTGCTCGATTGGCTGTCCAGCTTGCCTGCTTGCACCTTGCACCTTGCACTGACCGCATCCTCCTATCTCGCGCACATGCCCCCGTAGTCTAGATCTAGTGCCCTCTCACCCATAGTAACCTCTATATAGTCGGGAGTCGGGAACGGTGCGGGACTTCTTCGAGAAGAGCAGCAAGACAATGCTCCATCGAAGAAGAGTTGCAGTGGCTGGTGCCATTGGAGTGGGCCTTTGTTTTTATCAGGGGTGGATCTATCAGCGCCAGGATGATTGTCGCTCCAAACCTGACAAGAGGGACTGTGCGAAGTACAACGATCAATCTTTAGTTTCAGTTCACTTTCAATGTTATCTACTCGAGTATCTACTAACTACCGGTAGCTAGGCGCTACACCGATTCTCTAATGGGCGTAACAGAGGTTTTGAAACTGAAAGCGGATTTTCCTGTGCACAACTCGCTGCCCGCTCCAATCTGCGCCACGAGTTTCACAGTGGCAGTGATGACGCGTGGACCAAGCGTGTAGTCAAACTCAAAGGGGATGCTTGCCGAGAACGAGGTAGTAGGATTTAGGTCATTTTTCGATAGTGCGGTAGTGTTACCGAGGACGGGATCAGAGAGCTGATCAAACAAATCCACAGTGCCAAAGCCAGTTCCAGCCTCGAGCGAAGTAACTGCGATGGACTCTCCCGCAAAAGCCGATGGTAGTGCCACTAGAATATCGACGGATGCAAGCACAAGACCAGTGCTCGGGGGAGGAACACCAGATCCTTGCGTGCTGAACCCGACAAAAGTCGACGCACCGAAGGTATCACCAATATATAGGCCAAATCGGCCGAAAGAGCAATGAATCTGGAAAGTGACTACCTGAAGCAAGGCCGATGGATCTTCTGTGTTGCTGGAATTGTAGATCATGATGGTCGCACCAGCCGGCACCCTTGGAGAATCATCGTCGCCATCATCAATCGCATCAATGTTGAAGGTCGACCCTACAGCGACAACTCCGCTGTGGAGCACCTCGTTGTTTCTTGGGTCTTCAACTACGATAAACACCGTCGAACCTTCCTCAACCGGAGGACCTTCACCCGAGTCAAAGCATTCGAACCTGCCTGACTCCTGGATAGTGTTACTCTGGAGACAGCTTCCACCGTTGTAGCGCATAGTGATCGTCGATTTCCTGCCGCGGCAGATTTCTTGAACGGGAGCATCACAGGGTGCCCCTGCAGACGGCCCGCTTTGGAGGGTGCAACTGGTGACCTCCACGGAGATGTTGCAATTGCGCACGCATTGCGAACCACCCTGGCGAGCCAACACTGGGGTGCCCCCATCATCGACACAAACCTCTTTGTCAGCGGTGCAGCCAACATCCACCAGGCCGGCAACATCAGCAGCTGCCGCTCCAGCGGAAAGGCAGTGTTTGCACATGACTCCTGCCTTATTCATGGCTGGTTCGGCTTTGTTCGCTCCCACACAAATGGGACTGTCTACATTGCACCCAAAGTCCACACCATTGCTGGCTACCGTGTTGTTACAGTCCTGGGATTGCCCGACAACCAATGCAGCCAGCCAGAGCACAGCCGCAAATGCACGTGAAGAGACTGGAAGAAGCATGATTGCTGTTGTTGGGAATATGTATGTATGTATGCACTGCTGTACCGGTATAAATGAGAGTCGAGCTTTAATGAGGTATGTAACTTACGCTCGCAGTGAGCGAAGGACACGACTTTCGGACTTCCCAGACTGAAACAATCAAAAGGTGAATTAAAACATTCGAAAGGTGAAGTAACACGGAACCACTCGACAAAATAGTCGGCCCCAAGTCGAGTCCAGTCAGTGTGTCGTCACATTTTGGAGAACTTCCCTGCCCTCCAACCGATCTACTAGCTAGCTATGTGTTAGGTCGTACGGTCGTACCGTACCCCCAACCAACCACTACAAGAGTACTTTAGAAATAATAATGAGCATCGTGGCTGAGCTCACAAATTGTTTGTAGTGAGCCCGTGACGGGGTCGTCGTGACATCTGATGGTCGTTCGTCGGTCGTTTGCTCCACAGAAGACCAAAGAGAGAGAGACGTCTGATTCCACGAGCTCCAATCTTGGTTAGGAGTAGCAATACCTCATCAGGGTGTGTTTCTGTCAATACGGATGGCTGGGTTTGAAACCCATTTTAAGTACATGTACGGCACCCTCTCCCACTAAATGAGGGAACAGTGGGCTTTTGGGTCATGCATCATTGAGGAACGGTGCGGAAGGAACGAACTCGTACAGTACGTAAAGGATCCCACAGAAGCTGCAGAGGTGCTGAGATGCAAGAGGCAGCTCATCGTTGCATGCTACTTCTTTGACGATTGTTCTGGCCTTCCCGAACTGTTGAACAGATACCGAACCGTATTGGAAGACAACCCTCAGGCTCCTGTTGGCTGGCTCTCCCAATAAACTCAGATGCTCGAAGATCGTTCATGAGCACACGAGATCCGGGCCGCTCTCGGGCTTGGTCATAGCTACCGTACTGCTGTGCGTGCCGTGTGCATCCCATTCATCACATAGTTCACGTTATATGTCAAATTTTGGCAAGATCAGCCACTGGCTGGTGGAATGCCATTCTCGTAGCTCGCAAGCAATGCGTCTGTCATGCATCGTGACCTGAGTCTTGGCTTTTGGGTTGTCCTCTCCGAGCACTGGTCCGAAGCAGATTCTGTTACTAACTAGACGCGTTTGAGGCAGTTTGCTTTTTGTTCCCTTACTATATTATTGTGGTTCCATCATGTGTGTTGATTCGAATCATCCATGTGCTCCACAGAGTTTGTTTGCAATCAATCTACATGAATGAATGATCACATACATCTGGAATCTTCGTGTTGACTGTCAATGCAGCTGGTTGGAGATGACGATCGATGAACCTTCAAAATAGACCACTGTAGGCCCTTTTGCTTGGACAAAGCTGCAACAATCATAACGTGAACCACTAATGTCGTTTTAACTTGGGTTTATGAGCGCTACGGTACTGCAGGATACAGAAGATACCGTACACAGAGAACCAAGATATTTAGACAGCAGGGATCAAAGCGAGCCACTGGTAGACACGGAGCTTTTGGCCAAAAGCATCTCTTTCTGAAAGTTACGACGATCTATCCAGCTGCACAATTTTTATGACGACGATTACAAGGACTGTACAAATTGTGCAATGGCGGCATTGACGGCGGGTGCATCTTCATCATGCGGACAATGCCCGGCATTGATACTGACACGTTGCGCACTGGGATAGAGTTCCTGAATGCGATTGGCCGCCGTGGGTCGAATCCAAGGATCTTGTTCGCCCCAACACAGCAACAATGGCTTGTTTTCAGGCGATAGTTGCTCGAGCAAATCATCGACATAGACTTTGGCCCCAGTGGTCCGGGTAATGACACGATAAAAGACTTCGGGGGCATTGGGATTCAATGCCGGTTCAAAAATGGATTGTACCAATTCGTCATCCACAACGGCGGCATTGACGGGATAGACCTGTTGGAGGACTTGAGAAATACGAGCGGGTTGTTTGGTGTAGAGAAAGGAGCATTGAATGATGAATCGTTGAAAGGCTTCTTGGAGTTTGGCGACCAATGCATTGGTTTCGGGTTCTTGTTCTTCTTCTTGGTCGTCTAATTCGGGATTTCGAAATTTTCCAGCGCCATTGAGCAAGACACATCCATTGACCAGGGGTGATACGGTACTGGTGTAGAGTGCCGTGAATCCGCCCAGCGAATTTCCAGCCACTGTGGTGGGTTTTTGAATGACTTGGTCAATAAAATCGGAGGATTGATCTCTCCAGAGTTCGGCATTGTAATCGACAATGGGTTTGTCACTCAAACCAAATCCCAACATGTCCACGGCAAACACGTGATGATTGCGTGCCAATGCGGGAATGTTGTAGCGAAAATGATAGACACTGGCGCCAAAGCCGTGAATCAACAGTAATGCCGGTTTGGAAGGATCGCCCATTTCGAGGTAGTTGATCTTGTGACCCCGCCATTCCCAACTGTCGTATCCTTCGGGTCGCCACGGCAAACGATCGTTGGTCTCGTAGTCAAAGTCTTGTAGCGCGGGAATGGAACCGCTACTAGCAGTAGTAGAAGTGGCAGTGGGAGCGGTTTGTACCGCAGCGCTGCTCAAGCCATGACAGCCATGGAGGCTACTGCTCACAACAAGAGCAAGGAAAAAGGAAACAGCAGAGATCTTCATCATCATGGTCAAAACAGTTTCAATCTAAAGAAAAAATAAATGACACCACCAGCGCTACAGTTGTTCGGATCCTCACTCACACACTCATGCAACCAGCCTTGCATCCCTTTGCTGTTCTGGAAGAACTCAGCTGACACAGACGTCGATGCCACAAACAGCTGGCAACGCTGCATCATCATGGTTCCATTGCTTATTCATTTTGAATTTGGACTTGCGCGAAGCGTGGAAACCTTAGGCCAACTGCTCCGAAACTCTACGGTATGACTCTTTTCCATCCAACCTTGCTTCGAAGATACTAGCTAGAGTACAATCGATGGTCATCCACACGGGTTGCTTGAAACGTTGCCACCATCATTGTTTGTTTGCATGCGCCCGAGACAAGTTGCGGCGAACGTACGAACGGCATGCAGCTTTGTTATGTGTCGTCGTACCGTACCGTATCGTAGCGGGCTTTATGAGAGCTTGCTTCCACCCGTCGTTGTTGAAGTCAAGTCGAAAGGAATGAATTCAATCCTGTTAACTGCAAAGCAATTTTACGTGGAGCAAAATTTATCTAGAGATAGTTGTTCGAGTTTTATACTATTGTACTGGTACGTGTAGTCTTCCATGGAATCGAATGCATGGAATGGAATGATCAATCGAATGCATCATTCTCACGTAGTGATAGTCGTTTGCTTGATCAGTGTGAGCGACAGAAGTAACAGCGGCATCTGTGCGCACCGGTACCTACCTACCGTAGTAGGCAACAAAAGCACAATAAGATTTGGTTCTCGACGCCTCTCTTTCCACGCTCTGGTTATAATCTGACCACGGACGACGCCAAGATCAAAAATAATCTGCAGTCAACTACATGACTATACATTTGAAACCATTGCTTGTCCTCCGCTCTGGGCTGAGTTCCCCCTATATATAGCACTATTATAGTTTGTTGTTGAACAGAGCAGGCCCACTTTGAACGCCCCGTCCGAGCGATCTTGAATATAGCTAGCCATGCAGCGACGGACCAACCAGAGAAGAATCAACAACCGATATATCGACGAAAAGCGCATGCAGTATACAGTGTATTCCAAATCCCTCGTCTCCTTTGCCTTCCAGTCGGCCTATTGAACTCTTACTTTGCTACCGTGCTCACAAAACGTCACGGCTATACAGGTCCATTGCCTGGCAGTACGACCAGAAGGCTGATTTGGAAACGTACTTCATTTACAAAGGTCAGAAGGGTGGATACCCTTTGCCTCCAGTTAGAGAGCAGTATTATCTTGGCAGAATTCCTGAGAAGTACCGACCCATCACCAATCAGAAAGTGTGCGTGTTCTTGCTAGCACTTGGTCAGTACTTTTATGAGTATGGTCTGATCTGCGAAGCCATGAACTGGTGGTTCCAAGAACTTCATTCGCGTAAAGCATCGTTTGACAAGATGTATCAGTGGGATGGATTGCTGTGTGTTGAACTTCCGGGCCTGACCAATGCTGAAATTGAAGACGAAACTTATCGTCTTGCTGGTACTGCACATGGCAAAGTGGTTACGGCTGATCCTGCATTCTTGTCTATTCCTATGAGAGATACCTTTCGTTGGAAGAAATGGCAGATGTCCCCAAAGGACAAGAGTGATCCCACTGAGGAAGATCCCATTGAAGAGTATGGATCCGATGACGAGGACAAGAGTGAACAACAAGCCAACAAGACTCCTGGTCGCTCCAAGGCTTCGAAGAAAAGAGGAACTCCCCAGACTTCTATTGGTTCTTCCAAGCGTCGTGTTCGTACTCCATCTTCAGTTTCCACTGTTGGAAGTGGTAGGGGCACTATGAAAGATCCCGTTGTTCCAGCTGGAGTTTTCGACAGTGACAATGACGATGATGACAACTTGCCTCCAGTGGCTCGAAAGAAGAAGACTCTTGATGCCAAGACCCAACTTCTCTTTTGTCAACAGCCCAGTCAAGCTGATGCCTGTCCATCCTTGTCATCCATGTCGTCGTCTGACAGTGCTCGTGCTCGACACAATGACATTCAAGCCCTCCTTCTAAGTGGCAAGTTCACACGCCATTCCAGTGACAAGGACGAGGAGGACAAAGAGAACTGAAAAAATAACGAAGTTTTATTTTTAAGGCTACACCTCGTCAGACGATCCGCTGAACGGTGCCGTGACGAACCCATATACCTCAGGCGCACGAGGGCGCCCACTTAGGATGGGCCTAGTGTAAGCCCCCCACTGGAGAAATTGAACAAAACTCCGGAGGGTGCTGTACGACTAACTATCTACGCTAGGCTAAATCGCCCGCTATTGCTATGGGAATCCCACCTCGGTGCATAGTTACCCTGATTGGGAAGGCTGCTCGCGTGCATGCTCGTCCCTCATTGCTTTGTCAACAACTGGAAGCCAATTGGCCAGCCATGCCTTGATATCCCCCGGCCCTTTGGCCATCTGTTCCTCCAGGGGTCGCTTGAAGATGGTATCAAGGAGATGCTCTGGGAGCAGGTCCGCTTTTTCATACAGGAGCTCAACCTCTCGTTGGAGCTGTTCGTGTTTCTTGCGCCATTTCTGTTCCTGATCCCGGCCGTGCCTGGCGGCATTGCGGTCTTCCCAGAGATTCCACCACTGCTGGATCAGAACAGAAGCCAGATTGGTGACCCAAAGCTGACCGGTCTTGGTGGTCTCCTTGGAGCCGACCCGGTGCAAATAGGCATCTTGGTGCTTGGCCCAATGCTTGGACAACCGTCCTCTCAGGAAATTATCCCAACCAATGAGATTTTGAGTGTCAACAAGATCCCTATACCGTTCCGGATAATGCCACGGGTGTAGGAACCGGTCTTCAAAGTGGTATTGAAGCCCATCAAGAACAATTTCCAGGAGGAAGGGGTCTGTGGAATCCTTGCGCAACTTTGTACTGATTGCTCGTTGCATGGTTCCTCGCCACAAATCCACGTCAACATGCAGGCATCTGTAAACATGGGTCTCTGTCTCATGATCACCGCCGCAACGGGGACAGTGGTGATCATACTTGGGGTCGTCTCGGTGTATCCGTTTCCCAACTGGCAACAATTGAAATAGGAACTTCACGATTGTCGGTTTGTGGATCTCATGACGGTTGACAGCACGACCATGGGCTGTCCAATCAACCAGTGCGGGGGTGTCCTCGTACCAATCTGGATTAAGTTTGACAATGTGGCCAAACAAGGGCTGGTCGTTCCTGAGATGCCGCAGTGTTCTGGGAAGCTTGTATGTGCATGTTCCTTTGGGAAGGTGCAGCTGGGCCAAGTTGGCCGGAAATCGGAGTACCTTGGAGTGATCCTGTTTCATGTGTCGGGTCATGTAGCTGCCTGCAAGTTTGTCAGCTCTACAGTTCAGTTGAGCCTTCAAAGGTAGTGTTTCAATGGCCTTGTGCTTGTCCTGGTACGATTGGATGTGCTCCATCTTGGGCACTGTGACGGCAGCCCGAAACGAATCCTCGATCTGCTGCAAGACATCCCAGTCGGAGTCCAAGGAATCATTGGGGTACCAGCCCTCATAATCCAGGCAGCCAGCACACTTGTTGGTAATGGATTCATTGTCGCACAGGTGCACATAATTCTTCATGCTGGTTCGGTCATAGAACTCCAGCAATCTCCGCAGAAGGCAAGTGGGGGAGAGAATGCCATAAGCCTCCGCCCTGTAGGATGTCGGAACCATACCAAAAACGGGACCAGAGCACCGAAGCACAATCTGACCGCGATTGTCTCCCAGAACCCAAGCAAAACTCGCCTTTCTGGCATCAATGTCTGCAGCCCCATCACTCGCCACCCAGAAGGGCATGGCTGTGACAATCTGCAGGACGGAGTAAGCGTCCACCATCCATTCAAGCTCGTCATAGAGAGCTGTTTCCCAAGGCTCCAAAGTGGCAAGGAAATCCTCAAATGTTGTCGGTGTGGGTGGGAGTGGACGAGCAGGAATGCCTGCTGTGAAACCACTACCAACGACCACTGTCTCACGCTTGTTGAAGAGGGTCAGGTCCAGGACTTGCCGCTTTCCAGAGTCTGGTTGAACAGAGGTGCAAGATCGGGGGAAATAGGGATCTAGTGGCACTGAGTTGTGTAGGATGCTGGCGTCCAGGTAGGTCTCATCTCCGAACTCCCAGCGATGAACTGTCCGTTCCTTATTCGGAACTGGATGTTGGAACATCCAGAATTCGGACTCCTCATTATCAACTTGTTGATAGACAACGTTGGCATCGACCTCGTAGAAGAACCTGTGGCGCATGCGCGAGCCACCTCCCCAGGGGTACATCCAGCCTCAGATTTGGAGCGAACAGGGATAACGCTTTCCTCCACAACCACCAAGTCCTGGGATCCTTGGGTCGATCTTGAAACCTTTTGAAGTAGATGGTGCGAGGCATCAGAGGACTGGAAAAGCCATGCCAGAACTCCTCCCGGGTGTATGTGCCACATGCAGTGGTGATGTCCGCGACTGTGACAACTTGGAAGTAAAGACGCACATAGTTGATCCGTTTCAGATCTGCCTCCGAGAAATTTCCATACCACCCAACCAATCCATAATGTAGGAGTCGTGCTCACGCTGCAACGGGGGAATGTGAGCATCGTGGACTTCAATCGTGCCTCCAACAGATTGAAAGAACCTTCGCATGCATTGGAACAGCCCTACTGGGAGATGACAATCGATTTCGAGATCCTCAAGGATGGGCCGGCCAATTCCGGCATGGAATTGCAACCATGCGTATGTGACTTCACTTAGATCTCCGATGTCGGTGCACCTGGTCCTCCAGTGCTTTAAGAACTGCTGGATGACCCCGATTCCCTGCTTGTCGGCGAGTCGAAACATTTCAATACCCCCGAGCTTCCAGGAACCATAGCAAATGACTTTTGCAGTATTCGCTCTGTACCCCATTTTCTGAAGGGCAGCTCGGCGTGGAGCCGACTCGATTGTATCAAGATTGACATCCTTGAAGAAAGTGGTCTCCAAGCAGTAACCCACACTCGAAAGGAAAATGCTGCGATAGAACATATTGGCTTCCCGTCGATTCAATGGGGACCCTTTCAGAACCCTTGTATAATGGGTGCATTTCTTGATCAGGGCTGCTTTCTGTGCTGTGAGATTTCCAGCCGGGCCTTTGAAACACCCCAGGGACTTGTGGTCATTGTAGTTGTCGACTGGTTTGATCGGCGTGACGATCCCATCAGTGGATTTCACCTTGATTGGTGGTGTAAAGTCAGTCCCCGAGACCAGCTTTGGTTCGCCACTGGATCTGAACTCATATCGGGGATGATGAAAGGAACACTTCGAAGCCTCCAGCTTGGCGCCTGACGACCACAGAAGATCACTCCACCATTGAGCATCTTTCGTCGCCTTGTCCACCAGTACCTGCACTGAGGGAATGGTGTTGGTAAGAAAGCAATTTGTTCGAGAATTCGTATCATCAACAAACCCTGTCATGAACAGCTTGACCCGCTTTGAGCCGTCCGGGCTGGCAAAGGTGGCGCCAGTCGCATAGGGTTCAAAGCAATCGAACAGTGTACTTGAGATAAACAGCCATAAGGCCGGGGAGTTTCCAGCTCCTTGGCCAGACCCGTGCCAGGGATCCGCCTCTGTGTGCCCCAAGAACGTGACTGATGTTCCCAGAGTGGTCTTGATATGGTACCGGGCTTGTTCCAGATTCATTCCATTCACTTTGCAGACCCGTACCGGCATACCCATCTTGCGGCTTGCAAGACTAGCAATGTACATGAGAATCCGGTCGTAGCACGCGGCTGTGTCGTTATCATTTTTGATGAGCGGGTGCAAGCAACAACGTGACACTTCGTACTCTAGTTCCTCCGTATAACAGAGATCAATTGCTGACCTCCCTGGAACGGAACCAAATTGCCTTTTGTTGATCAGCCCTTGCTTGGAGGCATGGTGGAGCAATTCGCGCTACTTGACTCCTAGAAGCAGGTTATAATCGGCTTCGAAGATATGGATGACTCGCAGACGATGGATTTTGCAACCACCCTCAAGGATGAGGGTATTGACGATTTTGTTCCATCGAGAGTAGGCAAAGCCCTGTTCCAGGGCAAAGTTGAGGAGCCAAAAGTGGGCCTGCTTGATCTTGGTTTGAAACTCTGCCAATTCCTTTCCTTCCTCAGAATCCGCAAAGAGGGATTTCCAATGACCGAGATGTTGTCCAGAGGGAGAGGTTGTAGTGCGTTCATTCCAGCTCTTGAGTTTCCCATCGAACTGTTCCTCTGTCAATGTTGCTGGAATCTCACCATCGCAAGCCCGAGCCAGATGGCGAAGGAGAATTGCTGTAGCAAACGACGTTTCGAATGGACAAATGTCGTGTTCACCGTCAAGAATTGCATCCGCGGTAGCAGTACTGGCAGAGAAATCGGTATCTGTTCGCAGTGTTGAGTCGGTTCGGAATTCCGTTTCCTCAGCCTGCCGAAAATGCTTTTTGAGGTGGGCCTGGAGATGGCGTTCAATTTCCTCTGGATCCTCAACATACATCCAGTCTTTACACTGTTTGGGCGGCACTGTGGGATCCCGGGGAACTTCCAAGGTGGTCACTCCGGCACCATGTCATTTACCCTGCGCGTGGGCACACTTTTGCCATGCCCTTCGAGTGGCTTCAGCGTTGCACAAGCGCTTCATCACATTAGCCAACCGTGTGTCTCCTTCCGACTCGTATTGTGCTTGGAGTTCCATTTGGTACTCTTGACGCAACTTGTGGGTTCTCCACTCATCCACTTCCGCAGCACGAAGTTCCTTTCGGGCTTGCTTCTTTTGTTTCTTGCAGTCTTCCAACGATGTTGGTAGTTCAAAGGCTGGGTCGGAGATCTGCTCCATTCGGAGACGAATCTGATTCGTAATGTCGTTCTTGCATTGGAGTGCGTGCAGGGCCATTGTCAGGACTTGGAACTTCAAGCGTAACTGGGTCAACGCTGGGGAACTGGGAATGGGCGAATAAGTTGGGCACTTTTTGGCAGCGTGGAGGCTTGCAGAAAGCAGGAGTTGGTCCAAGGGCTCAGCCTCTTGCTGGGTAGGTGCCTGGTTGAATCTCCAGAGTCTTTGAAAGAATCCATGATTGTCAAGATAGCTGTACTTGGATTTGATGTAGGTGGTGACTTGGTGGCGTTTCTTGGAGTGCACTCGTCTTTGGCAGGGCTTGGGCAAAGCTGC